CCTTTTTTTTTCCTTTTTTTTTTTTTTTTTTGACAGGGTCAGGCTGGCTTCCGGTTTGCTGTGATCCTCCTGCCTCAGCTTCCTGAGTGCTGGGATTACAGGTATGAGTCACCTTGCCCAGCCATTGCACTGTTTTCTAAATGATCTCTCCAGGGACAATCTGGGCTCAACTCCTGTGAGGAGTGGTCCATCCCTGCAGCCTGGCAGGTGGGGGAGTTCCAGGCTAGAGGCAGGAAGACACAAGTGGCCAGAGTCCCAGGCAGACCCACCTGCACAGTGAGACTGGCAAACCCCGTGACACTGGGTGTCCTAGTCCCTGTGGGAAGAAGGGAGCTGATGAGCCTGTTGCAAGCCCCTCAGAGGGAAGGGCAACTGTAAACCAGGAGTGTGCAACCTGGGAAAGGGAAATGTGCAACTTTGGTGACACTGCTTGTATTGCCTCATGGCTGAGTCTCCTGGGGCAGATGACACCTACAGTGTCGTTCTGAAGCCTGGGGCTCACTCTGCCACCCTCTGAGAAGCCACTGCATAGTGTCACCCTTTTCCTGGCCCAGCTTCGGGTTGCTTGTTGGTAAACTTGGTGGAGGATTCTCCTGAACCTGGTAAAGTCAGGCTTCTAAGGGGACCAGTGTGGCCTCCTCTCCAACCAGAGTAGACCTGGCTGAGTCCCCCACCCTCTGACACCCTCAGAATCCTGCTTTATGTTCTCCCCACTGTACTTACATCTCTGGAGAGGGATCACCCACCATATAACACCACAGATCCCATTTTACAGAAGAGAAAACCGAGCTCAGGGAAGCTGAGCTCTCAGACCAAGGTCACAGGAAACATTTTAGGTGGAATAGGACCCAGACTCAACTCAGAAGCCCAGACTATTTTTTTTAAAAAATCCAAATAATCCTCAGCAAGACGAGCTTTCAGTCCAGTTTCCTGCACCTTGGAAATGACCTCCAACACCATCTGCTAAGCACATTGTACTCATGTAAACTCTCCTTTTTCAACTAATCTTGGGCCATCTTGGAGAGCTTATGAAACCAATATTTGGTTTATTGATAGGAAGTGGACAAGTCTTTTTATTTCCTATGTTGGCCAACTGTGTGAAAACATTATTCCCCAGGCACAGTCTGTAGCAGGTAGCAGAGGGGACCCTGTTCTTTCTCTGCTTTGGGAGCCAGGTCAGAGCAACCCAGAAGTTTCTGGCTGAACCACTCTGTTCTTGCAAAGGGAGGCAGCATCCTGCATGTGCTGGCTCCGATCCTGGCACCTCTGGGCATCTTCCTCGGCAAATCAGGGATGAGCATGAGGATGATGCCCACGGCCACGGGAGCTAACCCATGTGGAATTCCCACACCAGGGCCTGCAGCCTAGTGGTGCTCAACAGAGAGCAGCTAATACAGCCATGGCTAAGGCCACAGCCTCCAGGTGGCTGTATGTGTGGGTGCCTAGGATGGCACTCTGAGAGCTGGGCCTCAGCTCTCCTGCACTGGGTCCAGCTTGGGCACTGGGGGCTGGCAGTGGGGTGGGCCTGCTGCTGCTCTGAGCTGTCCTGTTTGGAGCAAGCACTTGTTCTACATGAAGGCTCTAGAGGATTTGACCAGGGAAATGTGAGCAGCAGGCTGCAGGTGTGGTTAGCATGCACATCATGTGTGCCCTGTATTTTTAGCTGTTCATTGGGGCATGGCATTTTTTGTCTTTCTCCATCAGGTCCCCAAACATCCAGGCCCGTGGGATCCTGACCCCTAAGAAAGGCAGCTTAACGCCCTGCTGTGGGGCTGTCAGAGAGCACCTAAGTGTCCTGCCCCAGTGTCCCTGTGCCTTGGTGACATCTCCTGTGCAGGATGAAGATGAGGGGCAAAGCAGGCAGCCCTGGGCCTGGCTGGAATCTAGCTGAGACCTCCTGAAGGCAGGGGCAAGACTGCTTCATCCTTTATCCTTTGTGACCTGCTGCTATGCCAGCCTCCTGGGGCTAGCAAGGAAGGAAGAAGGAAGCAGTTGCTGTCAACGATCATACTCTTTGGTTGTGGGATACATTCCCTTTGCAAATGCCCTCACTCCTCAAACCTAGGCTGCTAGTAATCAGCTGCTAAGCAATCTACATTTCTATGCTGAAAAGATGAGAGTGGTGGATGTGGGGTCACAGACTTGCAGCCAGTACCAAGTCTTTCTTTTGCTGTTTGTGTAACTTTGGGCAAATCAATTCACTTTTCTGAGCCTCAATTTCTTTGTTTCCAAAATGTGGATAAAGTAATAATGACAGCTAGTATTATATCACTTACACCATGTAGGGTCTATACCAAGTGCTTTGTGTGTGTGTGTGTGTGTGTGTGTGTGTGTGTGTGTGTTATATACACAACAGCCCTATGACAGAGACACTATTATACAGATGAGAAAACTGAGGGGCCAAGAAGTCAAGTACTTGCCTAAAACCACACAGCTAACAACAGAGAGGACCTAAATGCAAATCCCTGCTCTGTTACTTTATGAATTGTGTGACCCTGGGTGATTTACTTAACCTCTCTGAGCCTTCATTTCCTCATGTGTGGAATAAGGATGACCATATCTAATTCATGAAACCACTGAGAGAATTAAGTAAAACCAGGCCTGTAAAATGGATAACACGGTTCCTGGCTGCGCTGGTAGCTGATGCTGGTGGCTGCTAGGAGTCAAGGTGGTGTGGTGAGAGTTTCAGGTCTCCTGAGGTCTGTGTGCCAGGTTTCCTCTGATACGGTATTAGTGGGCCCATGCTTGTGTCATTTGATTGCACCGTATTAGAGAAGGTTCTGGCTTTGACCACAGCCCCAGCTTCCCCTGGGGGAAGCCACACAGGTCTGGCACAGGGAAGGTGTCTACCTGGAAAGTCCGCCTTTTTATGACTGGGGGTGGAGCCAGCCGCACTGAATTGAGGAGAGGCAGCAGCTGAAGAGAAAGGTGCATTGGAAGGCCAGAGGGCAAAGGCCAAAGATCGCAGGTATTCGGAGGAAGACGAAAGTCACCAGGAAGGTAGAGCGGCCAAGAGGGTTGGGAGGAGAAGAGAAGAGAGATTAGTGTGAGCTTGGGGGCGGGTGGGAAGGCACGAATGGGTTCTCTTGAAGCTGTGGGGTGCAGGCCTGGGGTGGCATGGCAGGCCCTGAAGGAGGAGCAGCCCCTCCATCTGCACCCTGCCTCTGCCTCTGGGTTGGAGCTCAGGGTAGCAGCTGGCAGTCCTGGCCTGGGAAAGGGGCCCTGCTTGGCCAGGGCTGCCTCCTAGACACGTGCCCAACATTGCACCGCTGCCTCCAGCCATCCCTGCTTAGGGGACAGAGGGGTTGGGCTGAGCGACACAGACTCAGAGGCTCTGGCTTGGGAGCCGCAGGACAGCTAAATTGGTACTTGAAGCCAGGCTGATGTGCAGCCCTCTTTGGCTTCTTTCTCTGGTAGGACGAGAAAGGCTGATGTCAGCAACTCTGAAGATGGTCAGGGCAGGGCCAAAGCCAGCTGGTCGGGCTGAGCCGGGCGAGGGCGAGGCCCGTGTGGGCACAGGCTAAGTGTTCCTGAGGTCTCACTGTGGGGCTGGTAGGCTTAGAAAATAGAGACTGGGTGAAGATGTCTCTCGAATGTTCAGCCACTTTTTTTTGGTACCAGGGATTGAACTCAGGTCCTTGTGCTTGCAAAGCAGGCCACCGAACCGCTGAGCTAAAGCCCCAGCCCTTTTTTTTGTTTTTTGAGGCAGGGTCTCACTAAGTAGTTGAGACTGACCTGGAACTCACTATGTAACCCAGATCGATCTCGAACTCACAGCGATCCTCCTGCCTCAGCCTCCTGAGTACTGGGATTACAAGCATGTGTCACCATGCCTGGCATTGAGCCACTTTTTTTTTTTTTAAAGAGGTAGGCAACTTGCAATCCCATTATCCAGTATGATTTGCATTTCTGGAACTTCTTTCACAGTTCCTCTACCCGACTGACCTGTGGCTTTAAGAAGCAGTGACAGCCCATAGGATAAACATGGATGGCACAGAACCAACTGCTTGTTTTCAAAAGCACTTGAACTCCTGCAAGCCCCCTGGGATGAACTTTAAGAACCAGGAGCCACTGGGGCTGAGAATTTGCCCAGCTGGGGACTGGGAGGCCAGCTGGCCGGGCCCTTCCAGGTCACCTCTGTGCCTTCCTATAGGCAGCTGCCACCCTCGGAGCCCCACCCATCCCGAATTGGGCCAGCGGAGAGCCATGCTGGGCTCGTGTGCAGGAAGCATCTCAGCAGAGAAGGCCCGAGACCTTCCGGAACCTACAAACCTTCAGGGTGATTATCTGGTTGGAGCACAGAGCCGCTAGAGTGCTGCTCAGATGCTTCTGGTATGCAGGGGAAATGAAGATGGCAGAGACTGGGTCATGGGAAGATTGGAGGAGAGCCCAGCCCCTCTACCCCAGGGCTGAGGACTCCTTCTTGCCTACCCCCAACCCTCTCCCCTCCCTTCTTTCCTGGTGAGGTCTCAGGCTGGAAAAGGAAGGGACCAGCCTGGCTCTCAGAGACCTGCCACCCCTGCCATGCCGACAGATCCCTTGTAAAACCAGCAGGTCCCTGGGAGCTCCCTGCTTTCTTACCGCTTCTAAATAAACTTGCCCCGCTGGATCCCCACGTCCACTTCCCCCTCTCCTGGTTGCTTCCCAGACCGCTACAGACCTAAGGCTAGGCTTCACTGTATCTGTGGCCAAGGTGCTTCTAGAACCTTCTATTATCACTGCCTCCTTCCCTGTTCTTTGTGCTGGGCTGATGGGCAGAGAGACCATCCTTGACCACTGCCAGTGTCCCTTCAGGACCGGTGACAGGTGGACAAAGTGGCTGTGGTTGGGTTGTCTTTGGTGCTGGGGGCTGCTGTCTTTCTTTAGGGTAACATAACAATCCCATGAGCCAATCGTTTCAAATAAACACAGCTGGTCTTCTATTATTGTATCAGGATCAGGCTGGCTGGAACACCAGGGCCCCTGTGTCCCTAGAGCGCATGCCACTGACAGGCCAGCTCTGTCTGCATGGCTACTGGTCTGTGTCCCCCAGCTCAGGCCCAGCCCAACTTTGATCTCAAACCTACCCCAGTCTCTCAAGGTCCAGGCCCATTGTGACCTCTCTTTTGCACAGGAATCCAGCATTCATGGACCAACATGTCCTTCTACGCCCTCAGTGGCTGGGCAGAGGCTGCCCCTGTTATCCGGGCCCTCCCAGGGCCTGACGGAATGAGGTCCACACTAAGCCTTGTTGGTACCTGTCTCTACCCCCTAAACCCAACCCAAGGTCCTGCTCAGCAAAGTGTGGGGCCGGGGGTGCCACTCGTGTTTCTGGGCCCATGAGGGAGGGGATGGTCTCCTAAGATGCTTATCCTGTCTACATTTGCCTCCTGGGCCCAAGTGCAGCCCATCTGGCCCCAGGTTCCTATGTACAGGGCTTGTTTCTGGTGTTAAGTCTCTGGACTCTTGCTGGAGGAAGCAGGGCTCAGCTTTGCCCTCCCTTGACCCAAGAAGGACCCCTGTGTTGAAGCACAAGTGAAGATTCCTAATAGACTGACAGGAGTCTTTTGGGTCCTGTATTTTGGAATGGAGCAAAGGAAGGAGCCATGTACGGCTTGGGGGAGGAACTGTCTCAGGCACCCGGGTCAACAGACACACGGGCAGAGGCACAGGGACTATAGATGGCTGGCTCCACTGAACACACACACACACACACACACACACACACGCTCAGTCCACACCCCAGACCCCCCCACATGCCC